AGGCGCGTAGCTGCCTATACGCAAGTATGCAAGTGCGTACACATAACCCCCCCCCCCTCAAAAAAAAGCAAGAAAAAAATAAAAGAAACAAAAAAAAAAGAGTGAGAGAGATTTATTCGAGAAAAATAAGCGCTATCCGTGTTTCAAATCAGTTATTTTGCGTCTTATTGTTTCGATTCAAATTTTGTTCAGCATGTCTATACAGTCAAATTTAGTCTTTTATATACTGTAGTACTTTCATCAATTTAAAAAAAAAACATCTTCCAAAATTCTTAAGGGAGAAAATATTGTTGAACCAAAATGTTCAACTGTTATTAATCCGCGTAATCCTGATTATCAGACAAATATATAGGATGAAGGAAAGCGATCTAATGGACTTTGATCTAAAGAAAAGGTTACAGGGATCTTATATGAACTCATACATGTACAGAGAGTTCATTTAGTAAATGTATACTATCTTCTCTCAGAACATTTTCCACACAATAATTTAGGTAGTCGAAACCCCCTGATATGCCTCTTTCGCAATCCCTAAAACTTATCAATGCTGTCCAAAGATTTATGACCTTTAGTGCAGTGCTCGTTTGAAACGTGGGATTAACATGATATTTCACACGTGTGTTTGCAAAGAAATGTGAGCTGATGTGGAGCTAAGAGAAAAAAAAGAGATGACCTAATATCTTAAAACTGATTTTTCCTGATGTATAATACACCTCGCAGCATCTGCTCTGAGACAAATCAAAATTTGTAATTATTTAACAAAAAAACATTTTTTCACCTCTAAGTAGACCCCCTTTTATTACGAATTTCACTCTACTTCTTTTCTATACTATTTACATCACTTATTCATAATTAGACTTACATGTACTAATCGAAAATAGTAAGTGACAAACCCTTCTTAAAGTTCATGTACCAAGCAAAGGGGCAATTAATAAATCCATTGAAAGACCACTAGTTAAAGTATATATGTAATGAAATACATATCATACATACATTGTATCTTCTTGAGAAGAAGACTTCTAAAGTTTTGATCCTTTATATTTCTATGTAAAACTTGGATTCCCTATTGTGGCCCCGCCCTACCCCTGCGGGCAATGATTTAATAATTAAGAATCTACGCCACCCAAGGATGCTTCCACATAAGTTTCAGCTTTCCAGGACCAGTGTTTCTTCAGAAACAGATTTTTTTCCTACATAGATTTCTTTGTAGAACTTGGGATTCCCTATTTGGTCCCGCTCTTCCCCTGGGGGCCATGATTTGATCAATTAAAGGTATACACTTCTCAAGGATGCTTCCACATTAGTTTCAGCTTTTCAGGCCCAGTGGTTCTTGAGAAGAAGATTTTTAGTTTTTACCTATAGATTTCTATGTAAAACTTGGATTACCTATTGTGGCCCCGCCCTACCCCCGGGGGTCATGATTTGAACAATTTAGAATCTACACTGTCCAAGGATGCTCTCGCATAAGTTTTAACTTTTCTGGCACAGTGGTTCTTGAGAAGATTTCTGAATTAAGTTTTTTCCTATAGATTTCTATGTAAAACTTAGGGAATTTGGTCTCGCGCTACCCCCGGGGGTCATGATTTGAACAATTTAGAATATACACTGTCCAAGGATGCTCTCGCATAAGTTTTAACTTTTCTGGCATAGTTCATGAGAAAAAGATTTTTAGTTTTTTCCTTTATATTTCTATATAAAACTTGGATTTCTTATTGAGGCCCACCCTACCACGGGGGTTATGATTTAAACAACTTCATTGTCAGAAAAGCTCGAGCTCAGTTAGCTAAAAAGGATAAAATGACCTATTTCTCCTACACGAGGTTTGTCCGGTTAGATCGTAGATAAGTTGTCTAGATTGAAAAACAATTATCACTGCGTTCTAAAAAAAAAAAATTATTACTCATTAATTAGTACATATACATTTGATAAAATAAAGCATATCAAATCTTTTTAAAAACTGTTATATATTTTTTTTTTTTTAAAAGGGACCACATACTCGTATATTCATTCATTTTATAGGAATATTAGTAAATGTATAAAAAAAATAATTAAAGATATTTTAAATCATCAAATGTTACTTAAATTATTTGTTCTTTTGTTGTTGTTGTTGTTGTTTTTTTTTGTTGTTGTTGTTTTGTTGTTGTTGTTTATTTTTATTATTATTATTTTTATGTACAAGTCTATTCTCCCACCCCCTCCCCTAAATAATAAATGAATAAAAAAGTAAAAACCGACTTATTTTGAACAATCTATCTTGAAATCACAGGTACATGTACCTCTGATCGAATAGCCTCCCCCCTTAATTCGATACTGGGATTATTGAGGAAATCTTTAAATTTAAATCTCAAATTATAGTTTTTTACGCTTGTTTATCATATATTTCAAAGGAAAAGTGGAAAGGGGGGATATATTCGATACCTCACTTGAAATTGTTTACAACATACAAAACTTTTTTCTTTAACCTTTTTCTGAAACAAATGAAAAAGAGAAATGATCCTATTGGCAAAAATTAGTTACATGTAAGTAACTTATTCCTTCTAACAACAAAAAAGAATTTGATATAAGAGCTCTAAAATTTTAGATCCACTTCCTGTTCGATCTAACAATACAGTTGAGTGTGAGTATAATCATCCTTGAGCCAGGAGAAATCGGTTGTTTTCGCGGTCGGCACTGCTTGAAAATGGCTTCCAGCTGTTTCTTATTACCAAATGATTGACATATTTTTTAAGACTTGAGTTCTTGAATCTATCTAGCTTGAAAGCACTATAAACCCTCGTAATTTTGAGGTAATTGACGAAACCTAAAAGCTATAGGAGTGGATCTTTTCATATTATAAAAAGTAAATTCATTAAAATACAATTTGACAAATTCTTCAATTAACCTACAATAACAATCACTGTAATGGAATTAATCGAATAAAATTACGTTTCAAAGTTATATATGTTGTTATGTGCTATTTTATTAGATACAAAAAATGCTTTCTAATAAAAATAATATCAACCGATTTAATTATACAGTAGATTGATAAGGCTTGTTCTAGCCGTAAATTTATTCTTTAGTTTAACAGTGCCCCCCTTTTTTTTTTTGAAGAGATACACACGCGAAAAGTACTTGATAGCGAATATAACAATCATATTTCAGATTCTAAATGAATACTTAAGCGTTTTTCTTTACAACAGATAGTCAGGTTTGCTATTTTTCTTTGCAACAAATAGTCAGGTTTGCTATTGTCAGCAACACATGTAGATCATAATGTAGAAAAGTTTGATGGATGATTTTTCCCTGAATGAAGCATATTCTGCAAATACATTAAGCTACAGGGTGATGGCGATGCTTTACAATTCAGATCATGCAATCAGTCAATCAATTTATTGTCCAAAAACAAAATTAATGGTACATGAGGTATATATATAATGGGAGTGCTTAAAATGGTTAACTGTGCACCGGTGTAAGTCTGTGACCCCCCCCCCCCGCTTGAAAAGCGGGAGGGTATATAGTAATCGTTAATTCCGTCCGTCTGTTACGCTTTGGGGTACCAATCTCTTATCCGCAACTCGTCTCATACCACTGTATAAAATTTGATGAAACTTTCACAGAATCTTTATTACATATTGCCATAGTGCACCTCCTATTTTACTTTTTGATCTAACACATATTTTGGGTTTCCCGGCCACAGCAAAACATGGACTTTGTCATTATAACTATATGGGAGGCGGGGATATCATTCAGTGAGCTCATCGCTCACAGTACCTCTAGTTTTTTTTTAATGAAGAAAAAACTTAAATACACAAAGGGTTGTTTAAATAATATCAAAATAAGTTCAATATCATCATTTACATACAAAAGACCACTTTAATCTTATCTCTTATTTTTCATATAACATAGAATCATTTATTCAATTTTCAATTTTTTCGATGTAGGCTAGAAAAAGTACACCAAGTGTATACCAAATTCTACACTCCTGCATTTTTTAATTAAGAAAGGTAAATACACGAAGTAAAGGTGTAAGTAAATGAAGTTCACACAAATGTATGCATGTAAAAAGTGTATGCATATAAAACAGTTTTTCAGTTATAGGAAAAGATGCCATTTGGATGGAATTAATTATGATTACAAAAGGAAACATACCAAACTAATAGATTTAGTAATAAAAGTAATCAACATCTTTTTGTAGGATTTTTGGCTGGAACTTTGTAAATAATTAGGGGGTTTGATATCTGTATATATACAAGGGGAGGATTACAAAATAAATGCTTTACATCAATTACATGTACCTGATACCCAATCCTTGTTAGATTATTTAAAAAAAATATGTTTAAGTACATCATAGAGTTTGTGTTATAAAAAAAATTAGAACTATTGCAATAGGTACGACATTTTTCATTTTTTTTAATACTAGTATACCATTCCATACACTGGACAGAATATAAACATGGATATATATGCACGTCTTGAAAAGTATACTTGAACTAACCAAGGAATAATCTGATTACACGTGTTGTTTAGAACTAAGTTATAAGTGCACTGAAAAATTGAAGAAAGTGTAGCCCTGTTTCTTTTGTTGTAAAATAAATAGTTGAAAAGCTATGTTATTTTCATTATAAATGTAAAACAAATATTTCTAATGTAACTAAATACCCTGTTATATTCACATGCATTATGTAGTACAAGTGCTTTAGTATTGGTATATCATATTTTTTTCAGTAAATCAAATATTTATGTATACCCTTCAAAATTATTTGGACCCCCACCAGGGCAGACCTCATTTTAACCCTTCAAAATCTCTAGAAGCTTGTGGGCCCCCACCAGGGCTTTGCCCTGTTTTTTGCCTAATTTTGGCGCCCCCCCTAACTCCAAATCCTGGATCCGCGCCTGATATTTTTTTCAGAATTTTTTGTATACCCCCCAATTATTTCAGCATTCGAAGCTGTTTTGGTTTTTTTCTTTTGTACAACAATTAGTCGAGGACACAATTGATTCTTAATAAATCTACGTGTACTTACGCGTGAATTTTCCTCATGTCTGAAATTGAAGCGTTTGGAGTTCTCCGCTGCCATCCTTTAAAATCAGAAATTAAATACGTCAACAATAACAAATTTAGAGGAAAATAGAACAGAAAAAATCCTTAGTAAACTTTATAATTATAACATCTTGTTGGAATCACAATGTTACAGGAAAAGCAAACTATAAATGTTCCGAATGTAAATATGAAAAATAATAACAACTGTACCTTATGTAGAAAAAGTCCAGGTGAAAGTCAGTCTCCTAAAAAAACACTTTAACAAGCAAATAACAACGCACAGATAATTTTCGGAAAAAAGTTACAATTTAAAATAAAAAGCATGCGCAAATTAAAAAGTATGTAAACTAATGAAAAAAATTGATTTTAAATAAATTTGAATATCGAAGAAAATAAGACTGGAAAAATTGTTTGTAAACAATTAGTATCAAGTCTGAGGCAGCGACAAAATTCAGCAAGACTATCTCAAACGACAAACTCGTTCGAAAGAATTTGTGTCAGTTTCACAGCTTTGAATCAGACGAGGTGAAAGGGGCTCATAAAGGGTTTTTTAAAAGTTAAAATATCCAGTTGTTTGATAGCTGTGTTTCTAATGAACATTTGCTGTGAAACGAAAATTAAGTAATGGATGCATATGTTAAACAGCAAAATACAACAGATATTTAAAATCTCTCTCTCTCTCTCTCTCTCATTTAAATATTAAAATAAACATATTCACCCACTTACTTTCAAGCAGTTAACAATGTTTTACAGTTGTAAATAGTTATAATGTTTTTACATTCCAGTGAAGATAGTAAATGATCACAAAATATCAAACTTTGCTAATTAATACTATATAAACAGTGTTGAAGTTTTGGACGAAACATAGGAAAAGAAGCCTAGACAGAAAGAATAATATTTTCCTTGAACACTATATTTTGTCCAATTAACAAGATCTAACTTGAATCATGACTTGTATGATTCTAACTCTTTAATAGCACATACTCCCCCTTGATTACTGTTCATTATCTTTACATTTTATATAAATTACCTCTTTTATGAAAAAAAAATTAAAAATACCAGAAACATTTATAGAGACACGTGCTTAGCTCGAATTTTCTCTCCATGTAATAGAACCACTCATGACAATCAAGATTGCAACTACATTTGCATGTATAAAAGAAGAATCATGAAAAGAAACTGTGTGAATATGTCGCATATATTGTAAATCACAATCAATGATCATACACTATAATGTTTCAATTCTTGAGGGGGTTGAATTGACTTAAACTAAAATTTTTGCAACAGTGTAACATGAATGTAGAAAATGTATTGCTTGACTGGGAATCGAACCTAGTAACCCTGAATCTTAAGTTAGACGCTTTTCCAACTAGGCTATCCAGGCCGATATCCACCATCCAAACCATTATATTTCTTCCTCCTTAAATCACCTTCGTCCTCGAAGACACAACCCAAGTTCTTATTGCCCCTGGAAGGACTTTCACCTGCAAATCCAGGATTGGTCAAAGGCACCAAATCTGTAACAAGAAAGGAGAAAATTTATGGCTGGACCAGGAATCGAATTCGGGGCCCTTTCATCACTAGTCAGGTTCTCTACCAACTGATCATGAGCTATCCAGGCCGATAACCATGCCCAACTCTTAACAAAAACAAAATGTCTACAACCGAAATTCAGTGAGTTTGTGAATGTCACTGTTGAAAAAACTTTTTTCTCACTAAAAAACAATATTTCCTAATGTACACCAGTTATGGTCATTGCAATATGGTTCTATATTCAATATTTGAACTAAAACTGGTTATATTAATTTTTTGGTGGGTGGGGCGGTTATTATTTTTTATTAAAATTTGAATTTAAAAGCCAATGGTCACTATTTGGATTACACAAAATCATGGAGCGAAGACCCACTATACCTTAAAGGTACACTTCTATGCTTGATGGGACCACCCTCCCTTATCGAATACCCCCTTTTAGATCCGCGCATGCGAATAACATTAATTTTAAAAAATAATGCTAATGATAAAAAGATACTCCGCCAAAATATGACAGAAAATTTGCCTACTCGGTTAGGTTATTTATACTTTCAGGCTACCCACTGACATGATTATCGTCAACAGAGTCTGTGATGAAAGTTGATATTTTTGCACACTAATTTGTGTGTTTCAAAAATTATACATTTTATTCAAACTTTTATGACCATCTTTTAAAAATATTGAGCGAAGACACACTCATATTGAAATTTTTTGCTTAAGTGTGAGAAAATGATTTTTGTAAATTTTAGAGATTTGACAGTAAAAATAATTTATTATAAGATAAAATATCAAATAAAATTTAGATATAATTTATTGAAGATTGAATTTTTCCCTTCTTATTTGTCGCAATACAAGGCACTTCGCCCGCCACACCCACCCCATCCTCTTCAAAAGTAAACAACAACCTCCACCCCCTTACTCCCTCCCCTTAAATTCCCATTTTTTCCGTGTGAAAATGAGTTTACATTTTTCCTTTTTTTGCTTGTAAAGAAATTTTTTGGTTTTCATTTTGACATGGGTGCTTCCACCCCATAGAAAATAAATCCTAAATCCGTTTTGACGACAGCAATATTTCTATCAAAAGTAGTAAATCATTATTTAATTCAGATGACCTTTATCTAGTTTCATCTTTTGCTTTTCACTATGGGTAATATGTGAAATTTTATTGATCATTTTCAGCCTTTCCTCTCTGAATTACATCAACTTTTTTTCAACCACATTCTATATATTAAAAAAAATTATGGACATATGGAAACAACAGCCTTGAGTGGAAGGCATGGTACTGAGGCAATATGGATGCGTGCAACCAAACCAGTAGAAAAATCATGTTTGAAAATGGTATCCATTAATCCAGGGTATCTTGTGGAAAAACTATTTCATATAAAACGTAGATAGACCAAGCTCTGCATAAATTATAACATTCATAAACTGGTTCCACGTTTTTGTTTGTTTGTTGGTATGTGGTGTAACGTCCCTCTCAAGAATTTTTCCCTATATGCAGGTCATCATTTGACGAAGGAAATCTGCTTTTGTCCTATGCTCGGCACCAAGGGCCATTGGGCAGTGAAGAATTTTTTTGTGCCAACACTTTAATTGCAACACGGGACCTCGGTTTATACGGTCTCATGCGAAGGCCTAATCTCCACGTCCCACAATGGGATTCAAACCCGCGACATATGAATTAACTCCTTACTCTGCGACCCTAGAGAGGACGCCCTAACCACCGTGCCGAGCTGTCGACGGTTCCAGGAACTGTTTAATCGTACGGAATATGTGCACTAAGTTGATAATACATGTATATTGAAAAAAAAACATTTTTGAAAATTATTTTCTTTGCATTATATGCACATGTCTAGGACTTTACTTATCAGAATGTAAAAGATGACCGGGCAAAATCAAGTACAAGTATACATGTTATAAAACAAACAGAACTGCATACACATTATTTCTCGAGCATTAGTACCACCCGCCGTGTACTCTTCCTGAACGGAAACTAACAGGAAAATCCGTCATTTATTCGTTAAATAAATATTAGACGAATAATTAATATGAACAATTAGTATGAAAAACGTATGGTTTTCACCACTTCTTGAATATATTGTAGCACAATACACTTGAAGTTTCTCCTTCACCACTGTTAACAACTTAGTGAGGGATAAAGAAAGAGGCTTGGTGGAACATTTATAATTCGAACCTGCTTTGTATCTTTATTTGTAAGGATTCTTTTGAAGTGTTGGAATTCAATATACATGTTTATAAATATATATGTGGTAGTTCAAATTCATTTTGGTTCTCCTTGGGATATCAAATATATTCAAAACTGACATATGATTTTCAATAATTTTCTTCCTTGGAAATGTATATACTATGAATATGTGTTGAATTACCACATGTAGAATTAAAACCAAGTTCTTCTAAAGTATAATTCATATAATGAGCTTTGCAAACAAAGACAATGTTGTTATCTGCTTTGTCAGCAGGGACCAGTACGTACTGATCATGTAGTCTATCTCATTTTTTTTGTTCACTTCAGCATTATTGTATACAGGTTAGATGATTTTCATATTGTCTCTCAGTCTTTAATTACACCATTTTAACATGAATCTGATACATTTCATACATTCTGACAAAGTGTCAACGTCTTCTTCTTCATAGCTGACCCATCGCCCGGCGTAATCTTCAACGTAATCCATATAGTATCTATGAAATTCTGACGCCCGTTGAAGGATTGGGGTTCCCTATATTTAGGACCTTTTAAAATAAGTGATCTAAGGTAATCATTATTAAATATGATTAAGATGAGAACAAAATTTACCAATGCTAGAATATACTACATATGGATTAATCATAGCATTGAATTCAAAACGGCATTTATTGTATAATGTCTTGTACGTAGAAGTCCAGTTCGAGTTTTGAAATTTCCATTTTTATCTTAAATGAAAATGGTCGTCGAAAAATGAGGGTGTGTGTGTGTGTGTGAAGGAGAGAGAGTATGTGTGTGAGAGAGGGTGTGACTGTGTCTTTGTTTAAAATTTTGTTTCCTGAGCCCCTCAGGCATTTCCACTTTAATTTTCACCCTGGGAATGATTTTTGTGTCAAAATTGGTGTTTTTCTTATCTTTAAAATCAACCTTTTTTGCATTGACTAACTTCTCTTTTGAATTCAGATATACTTTAAAAACCTTACTTCTATCCAAACTCTTATGAATGTGTAGCTGCAGTACTGTAGTGTTATGCATGGTTCTATACCAGTATATAAGTCTGTCTTTGACCATGGCACTATACAGATTCTGTAATGAAATAATGAAGATTTCTGCGCACGGGATTGGAGAATTTCTCTTTTTTCCAACATTGGTCAATCAGTTACAAGGTACTTTTCACTCCCTAATTCAAGACTCATTTTATATCAACTTGAATATTTAACCTCCTTACCTTAAATTCCTCTAAAGTTGTCTATCAATAAACTCACTTGTTTTGAATTTGCTGTCATCAGACAAAAATCAAATATTTAAACAAGTGAGTTTATTGATCTGTAGAGACAAGTACGAAAGGTATAGGGAGGTGCATAAAATATTCAGATTGGTTAAATAACTCATCTAAATCTGTGTAAGGAAAGGTACTTAATTGAATGAAAGGAGGGTGCAGGAAAGAGGAGATTTTTTCCCGAACAGTGCGCCGTAAATTGTACATTTTTGTATTACGGGATATGTCACCTTGTGGTCAAAGACTAATATATAAATCCTTTACACTACAGATCTGCAGCTAATGAAAGTGGACCTTGTCAATCCTAGTCTTATGTCGAACTATTGACAAAAAAGTTGATGCTATTTACAGTATCTTTTTAAGAAATATTTCAGCAGGTTCTTGGCTTGACACAATGACCTTTTGAGAAAATACATCACATTTAAAGTTGATTTCTGACTTGCGTTTTGAAACCATAATATCCTGCATATATGGAGTATGTCTCCCAG